GGTTTAAGCACTGTGAAATCTGTGGAGCAGGCAATGGAGCCCCTCATGAGCCCCCTGTTCATGCATCACTTGTATGCAGGTGGGTTTTGTGATGGCTGTGGGAAGCTCACTTGAAGGTGGAGTGGGGGTCCCAAGGGGCTCCCTGGGGTCTGTTCTTCCAGCCCAATAAGCGATGTGACTGGTGATAGAGTGCGGTGCATCCATCAGGCTGGGACTTGAGCTTAAGAAAATCTCTGGGCCCCAGTGGCCGTTTTCTTCATCCTCACATAGCGCAAGACAATCTCCACTACTCGAGCACACTGAACACAAGTGTTCTGTTCCTGTTTTGTTTGGTTCTCTCTTAGATCTCCCTTACGAATTTGTCAGTAGTAACAGATGCCAGGGCATAGAGCTCAGAGCATGCTGTGGCTGACCACCCTGGGGTCTTATGTTTTTTTTCTGTTTCATGCAGATCTTGCTTTGTATTTATAGGAAATGTATTTATAGGAAAGGTTGTCCTCTTCTGGGCCGCTTTGTCAGGATCAGCCCAGATCTCCATCCCAATTGTCAGGGGATGCTCTTAGTTTCCTAATCTGTATGATACCCAGCCCCTCCACCCCCCTCCCTTCTTCCTTCCATTCCCTGACTCCTGTTGAATAGCTAGCTCTGCAGCTACGGGACCCAACAGTGTGATAAAACAAGGCCTCTGGTCTGCTGAATACTGGGACTGTCATGGAGAGGCTCTGTGGCCGACGTGGATCTTCCTGGTTGGACTGCTTGGTGAGTTTCCTGGAGCTGTTGAGCACTCAGGCTTCCCCACCTGCCCTGATTGCTCATCAGGCCATCGATGTCCTTTGTGCCGTTGTGCCTCACGGCTTCAGGTATTGTGCCATAGACTCCTTAGAGTCGGAAGGGACCATTTGTGATGATCTAGTCTGACTCCCCACAAGGAACAGGGACATCCACAGCTCGATCGGGCTGCCCAGGGCCTGATCCTGCCTCACCTTGGAAGGGACGGGGCATCCACCGCCTCTCTGTGCAGCCTGTTCTACTGCCCAGAATTGCAGAATGTCCCGGCTTGGAAGGGACCTTGAGGCCCACAAGTCTCCAGCCCCCCGCCAACGCAGGGCCACCAACCTCCCCATTTCACAGCAGCCCAGGCTGCCCAGGGACCCATCCAACCTGGCCTTGAACACCTCCAGGGATGGACAGGGCATCCACAGCCTCTCTGGGCAGCTGTTCCAGCACCTCACCGCTCTCACAGCACAGAACTTCCCCCTGACATCCAACCTCAATCTCCCCTCCCTCAACTTAAAACCATTTCCCTTTGTCTCTTGCTGTAAAAATATATTTTCCTTACATCTAATCTAAGTTTTCCCTTCTTCTTTCCTTCAACTCCCCTTTAGGTATCAAAAGGCTGTTACCAGGTCGCCTCAGAGCCTTCACTTCTCTGGGCTGAACAGCCCCAGCTCTCTCAGCCTGTCCTTGGAGGAGAGCTGTTTGATCCCTTGGTTCTGTGTTTTTTTTTTTTTTTTTTTTTTTTTTTTTTTTGTGGCTATCCTCTGATGCGGTCCAACAGGTCCATGTCTCTTCTGCACTGAGGACTCTACATCCCAACACAATCTCTAGATGTGGGATTGTGCAGAATATGGACTCAGATAAGGGAAGCCTCTTTACTTCACAGGTCCTACAGGAGCTGATGAGAACTTCAGAAATGAAGTGGGAGCTCCATATCTGTGGCACCCTCCTTCTTCAGGGAAAGTAGGATGAATCAATCAGATGCTGAAAAAGCACTCAAAATTGGTTTTAGAGACCAAATTACCATGGACAAAATGTTTGCCTGTAGCCCTTGTCAGAATACGAACCACTCACAGAAAAGGCTTAGGAGTATCACCATACGAAGTGCTGTTTGGGTTGCTGTACTTGGGAATGGTGAGATGCCCGCTCTTGAAACCAAGGGTTTCTTCAGAACTGTGTACTCAGGTTGTCTGCTGCTCTGTTACCCCTTAAGGAATGTGGACTGTTGGCTCAAACTCCACCTCTGGAATTTCCAGTGCACTCATCCCGTGTTGGAGGCTGGTCCTAATACGCGCCTGGAAGGAATCAAGGCTTCAGCCCGAGAGGGATGGAATGGACCATTTCAGGTACTGCAGTGGGTGTCGCCTACCTTGACTTCGGCAAAGTTTTGTTACAGTCTCCCACAACATCCTGGTAATGAAGCTGAGAAAGTGTGGGATAGATGAGTGGATGATGAGGTGGGCTGAGAACTGGTTTACTGGCTGAGCTCAGTGGTGGTGATGGGCGGCGCAGAGTGCGGCTGGAGAGCTGTGAGTGGCGGTGCTCCCGGGGGTTGGTGCTGGGTCTGGTTGTGAAGGGGAGATTGTGTTTTTGCTGTAGAAGCTTTTAGTATTTTCTGTATGTAGTACTGGCTTTACTGAACTTAGAGCCCTCTTGTGAAAAAGCTATTTGCCTTCCACTAAGAAAGTTGCTGAGCAGAGTTAAAAAAAGTTAAAGATTCGGGGTGTTCTGACTGGGGTGGAATTGAGCCAGGCACAAAATAAGGCAAATATGCAGGGTGGAGAGAGAGAGAGAGAGAGAGAGCTCAGCACAGGACAGAACAAATGTGCTCACTCTTGGAAATATGGCCCTCGTATCTCCATGGAGAAGTGCAAAACATACCAAAAACAGCAGGTTGGTAATGGACCTTATATGGAACTACATCATAGCAACAGCATAGGTGAGATTGTGAGCCTAGACGCTCAACCAATGAGCGCCAGGAGAGCATTGCCTGCGTTGGGTTCAGAGTACAGAACAGGATGAATTTCACTGACCGATGTGCAATTTTTCCCTTATTAGCAGGGAGCATGTGCCTGTTATTGCAATAACGAATAAACTTTGCTGCTGCCACTAAGATCCTTGCCTAACCTAAAATTGGTGACTTTGAGTATTTCTCACAAGGTCTTGTTCAATATCTTTGTCAACAACCTTGACGAGGAGATAGTGTTCACGTGTATGTGAACTGCTGAGTCACGGCCTGAACCTCTGATTGATCACCTGAGGCGAGCCATGAGCCAGCCAGAGGAGCACAGGAGAAGGCAATTCAGCTGTGCTGCCGAAAGGGGTGGAGCCAGGCTGCACCCCTCCTAGACCTGTTTAAGAGCTGGCTACCAGAGGGGAAGGATCTCTTCTGGAGATCACCTCTATTGGTGTTTTGTTGTGAGCCCAGCTGAAGGGTAAGCCTTCCATTTTATTCTCTTTTGTTATCATTGTCCACTTTGCCTAACTCTCTTGATTATATTGTGATTGTAACATCTTGATATCCATTGATTAAACATCACCCTTAGCAAGTACACTGATGAGACAAAGCTGGGAGAGAAGTGGTTGGCACGCCAGAAGGCTGTGCTGCCATTCACCAAGACCTGGACAGGATGGAGAGCTGGACAGAAACAAACCAGATGAGGTGGAACAAAAGCAAGTGTAGAGTCTTGTACCTGGGAAGGAATAACTGCAAATATCAGTAGAGCTTAGAATGTGACCGACTCTAGAGGAGCTCTGCAGAGAAGGACCTGGGGGTGCTGGTGGACGACAGGTCGGCCATAAGCCAGCAGTGTGCCATGCTGGCCAAGAAGACCAATGGCATCCTGGGGTGCTTTAAAAGGAGCGCGGCCAGCTGAGCAAGGGAGGTGATTTTCCCACTCTGCTCTGCCCTGGTCAGGCCTCACCTGCAGTACTGCACGCAGTTCTGGGCTCCCTGTACAGAAATGACAGGGATCTCCTGGAGAGATCCAACAGAAGGCCAGGAAGATGATAAAGGGCCTGGAGCATCTCCTCAGTATGGAAAGGCTGGGGGACCTGGGTCTGTTCAGCCTTGAGGAAAGAAGACTGAGAGCAGATCTGATTAATGCTTATGTATTTGTTAAGTGTGGGAGTCCAAAGGACACAGATCTCTTGTCAGTGATCTGTGGGGACAGGAGAAGGGGAAATGGCCACAAACTGGAGCACAGGAAGTTCTGCACCAAAATGCAAAGGATCTTCTTCATGGCGAGGATGATGGAGCGCTGGAGCAGGCTGCCCAGGGAGGCTGTGGCTTCTCCTTGTCTGGAGATTTTCCAGACCCTCCTGGACACCCACCTGTGTAGCCTGCTGTAGGGAGCCCGTTTTGCAGGGACTTTAGACTCAATGATCACTGGGGGTCCCCTGCAACCCCAATTCTGTGGTTCTGTGATTTTAATTCTTGCTTCTTGCAGCGATGCAGTGTTTCAGAAGAGAGAAAAGCACGACGGGCGTAAACTGGATTTCTGTGGTTGGTGAAGCTGTGCTGAGAAGTGGGCTGACTGCTGCCCCTGGAAATGAGTCTGCAGACTTTGCACCCAGAGGAATGACTTTTCCCTGCAGGTTGGGCTTGTCTAAGGTAGGTCACTACTAGGTGAGCTTCTGCTTTAAAACATCAAGTTGTACAAATAAGGAAACTTCAAATGCAAGATTGCCAATTCTTTTTTACATAGGTGATTTTTTCACGAGGAAAGATTTGAAATGCTATTTGCTAATGGAAGATGGAGAGAGGAAAATCAAGTCAAAGGCACGCTGTGCATAGCCAGCACATAGCATCTGCACCGCTCTCCCCCTGCACAAAGGAGGAGCAGCTCAGCAAGCTTGGCCTGGGCCAGGAAGGCAGCATACAAACATCTGGACCAACCCCAACAGAGCTGCTTCTGCAGGTTGGTTGTCTTCCACTGTGTGTCTGCCATCCTGTTGCTCTGGGGTAGGTTTGTTCATGTTCAGCTCATGGATCTGAGGTCTGAGTTTAAGGCTGTGGGCATTGTCCAGGAGTTGGGGTAGGGTACAAGGCAAGGAAAATTGGGGTAAGAGAATGAGGCTTAGGACCAGGAACCTCTTCTATCACTATTAGCTCTTGCTGTTCTTTTTTTGCGTAGGAATCCATGTTGGTTTTTTAATGAAGAACAAACTCGTGCAGCTTGTGAGTGAATTCATTCACGCATGTTAATCGTTGTTCTTCTCTACGTGGAGCTGCAATTGCAATGGATGCTTGTGGTCTGATGTGCAGCCCCCTCTGATGTGCTCAGATGAGCCAAGTTTGCAAGGCCTGGCTCTCGGTTGGTGAGTTGTGCCCAAGGTCAGAGAGGTGACTCTTGTCAGCTTTGAGATGCATCTTCCAGTTGCACGCTGTGTTCTTCCTGTTGCATTGAGCTCTTGAGCTCCAGCCCTAAGTGAGGATGCAAGCGCTACCGCAGAAGGGATGGTTGAGATGGGAAGTGCAGTGCAAAGGGCTGGAGCCAGCAGGAGCAGGGATGTGATCATCCCCCTGTGCTCAGCTCTGGTGAGTCCTCACCTTGAGTGCTGTGTTCAGTTCTGGGTCCCTGACTACAAGAAGGACACTGAATCCCCGAGATATTGCCAGAGAAGAGCAGTGAAGCTGTGAGGAGTGTAGAGCACCAGTCTCATGGGGAGCGGCTGGCTGAGAGAACTGGGATTATTTAGCCTGCAGAAGAGGAGGCTCAGGGCAGACCTTATCCCTCTCTACAATGAGCTGAAGAGAGGTCATGTCGAGGTGGGGGTCGTCCTCTTCTCCCGTGTAAGTAGCGATAGGACTGGGGGGAGCGGCCTCAAGTTGCACAGGGGGAGATTGAGGCTGGATGTTAAGAAACACTTCTCCAAGGAGTGCCCAGGGAGGTGATGGAGTTACTGTCCCTGCAGGTGTTCAGAAACGTTAGATGTGGCAGTGAGGGACGTGGCTTAGTGGGGAATATTGGTGGTAGGGGGACGGTTGGACTGGATGATCTTGGAGATCTTTTGCAAGCTTGCTAATTCTATGATTCTGTGAAAGGCATCTGCTGGTGAGTGCTTTGGTGGGTGAGCATCAGGCTGCTGGACAGCAGGCAGCTGTTGTCTGTGCAGACAGCCACATCTATGGGGAGTGGAGGCTTTTTCACCTTAGCCTTGTCTTTCATGTCTCACGTGCAGTAAGTCCTGTTGTTACACACAGCATCTTGGGGGCAACCTTGATTTCTGCAGCCCCGAGCTTTGTGGCACGAGAGCTCTCCGCCATGCTTCTTCCTGTGATGTGTGACCGTATGGAAGGCCTCGCAGAAGCCTGGGTAGGTGATGGCAGTCGCTCCTCCTTTCCCCAGCGATGCTGGAAATAGCGTGGAACGGGATGGGGGGACATCCCAGCCGTGGGTTCCTCTCAGCAGGACTGAGCAGCTGCTCTGATCCTCGTGTTTGAACTTGAGGGAATCTGATGCTAAGTAGAGAAATGAGGGGCTTGTTCATAAAGAAAAAAAGACTGTGTCGCATCTTGTGGTGCAGGATGTTGTCTGAACTGCTGCTAACAGTGCCCAGGATGCTCCCTTTTTGATGGGGAGAGGTTTAGCAGGGATTTCTTAAATGAAAATAGTTTGTTGTGTAATTTCCTTTCATTTCGACCTTTCATGCTACTTCTTGATAAGTTATCTTTGGATTATGAATCAATATTTATTACTGAAGAGAATTGAAGAGAATACATACGCACCCTGCGCCTTCATCTGCACCAAGAATCTTCTAAACATCTTTGCACTGTTTCTTTTTGGCTCTGAGATGAAGCTGTGTGGAATATGGGCTTGGATGCATTTTCAGTCAGGTGCAGGACACGTAACGCTCATCTGAGTTGTCATGCTGACAAGAACAGCGGAGTAGTAAATTTGTCAGGGTTGCTTGCTTTACTTTACTTTTTTTTTTTTTTTTTTTTTTTTTTTTTCCCCTCCAGTCATAACCATGGAACCACAGAAGCGTTACCCAGACAGAAGGAGCCTTTGTCACCTGGACTTCCTACCAATGACACAGGCAGTGGAAGTCAGCATCCCAAGCATCCATGAAACCCCTGCACAGGACTGGTGAGAGTTACCCTGGCGCCGTCCTTTGGCAATCTCAGGTCTCTCTGTAAGCTCCCAAGCTGTGTCGTAACTCCTCCCGTGGTGCTGACTCAGCTCTCCCAGTGTTTTGTGTGGGAGAGCTGGAGTTGAACTCCTTCCTGCTTCCTGCCTCTGTCCTCCCTGCTTTGCCCATGGCCCACTGAGCCTCCATCCTTGTTAGGTGTCTTGAATTACTGAGTTGCTTAAGGATTGGGTGGACCAATTAAATTCTTAGCGATGTCTCTAGATCCACGTGTGCACAAAAGCACACTCTGATGCAGTCAGTGTAATGATGAACACACGCCTTGTTTCCTTTAGATCGTATTTTTAGTTCAGGAGAACAGATTTCTGGAATGATGTGCAGCTTAGCACCAGAATCCCCTTGCCGCCCCCCATTGCAGTCACTCACGAGGGTTTGAGATCCACAGGGAGGAAGTATTGCCGATAATTACAATCCGTGGTTTTAAAAGTGATTTAATCTATGGTGGATGATATGAATGGTCATGGTGAATGACGTGGTAAGGCATCCCAGCAATTTTCAACAGGAATACTTACTTCAAGGCAGCTTTTCAAGGTTTCTTTGAGAACTCTCCAAGTCTCCAGGAATGTTAAGCGCCAAGGTTTCTTAGCCTTCCGAATGGCAGTGTTTCTATCTAAGCTGGCAGCCTTTAAGCCCAAACTGAAGCTTGCTCATCTCAGTGGAAGTACCTTAGCTATATTCTAACGCTGCGTGCAAAATGAGTTTCACGTTCACTAGTCCTTTCTGACTCGCTACGTGTTTGATTGCACAGGAAGAAAAGCTTGATGTCTGTGCCAAGGGAGACGTACACTGCACTTGCGCTGCCTGGACGATGTGGAAACTGGAAATTCTGGGGTGTGCTGAAGCATGCCCTCTCAGGTCAGTCTAAGCATACATAGAGTAGACCTGTCGAACAAAACAGGGAATAGACAGTTAAACCCATTCTGTTGGGAAAGACTCTCTCCTTCTAAGTACCTTTAGAACGTGAGTTTCTTCAATTAATTACTCATTTCCTTTTCCTGAATGATCCTAAGTTCTTTTCTCAGGCGACATCTGCACTCTTCTCAGTCCAAGGAGAAATCCCTGCCCACGCAGATGCAATGACACAGCATGGCTCCCAACCTCATTTTTCATTGCTTACTCTTATGGTAGCTGCTATCCATGTCCACCCTGCGTATTCTTAGAGCTCTTCTGGAGTCCATGGGGCAGACTTATGGTTGAACTAAAGGGAATTTTTTCATATTGCTCTAGCTCCAGATGATTATCCCTAGTGTCATTATATTAAAAAAAAAAAAAAAAAAAAGGCGTTTTGAAGTAGTGTGATATATATTCTGTGCCTCAGAATGTGGCACATGTGGCATGAGAGAGTTTGGAGGCCACGAGGACTGCCCAGACAGCGTGAGAACTGTAAGAGCAGAGAGCTATAGGTGATGCAGCGCTGTTTGTGCCACCCGCAGGAAGCGGTAGCTGGAACAAAATATGGCCAGAAGAGTGATCAGATTGCGTTTGGTAAGGAACTATTTCATTAGTTGTAGAACTTTGACAAAATGTATGTTCAGGATGATGATCAGCATGCCAGGTGCTGGGACCATGCCGAAAGAGAAATGGTCTGAAAACGTCGGTACAATTTGCAATATATCCCCTTCCACAAAGCCCTCAGATCCATGCTGCAACTGCATCCAAAGCAACCCAGGGCCCTGTGCTTGTTGTACCCGGAGCTATCGGTGCCAGGAGTTGCTGCTGTGTTTGCAAGGACGTTGTGTCAGCAGTGTGCCGTCAGTGGGGTTGTTTGATGGCAATGAAACCGCTGAATGGTGTACCTCAAGACTAAGAAAAAAAGATGGTAGTGGTGACTGTGTGTCTAGGTATAGATAGCTTGATAGAGATCTATAGGAGTCCAGTGTGGATTGTACATAGGCCCTGCGCTGCAAGGTACGCTGTTGGGAAGCAATGTCCATCTGCCCGAGGGCAGGAAGGCCCTGCAGAGGGACGGCCTGAGGCCAGCTGTACGAGGCTGCACAGGAGCAAGCGCTGGGTCCTGCGCTGTGGTCATGGCAACCCCATGGCAGCTTCTGCAGGATTGGGCTGAGGTAGAATTCCAACCGCCCGCTGATTCTAGAATGTTGGGTGCCGTGTTGGAATCTTCTGGTCCTGTGACATGGTCTTGCCTCCCCACCCTGTCGTCATGGCGGAGCAGCCTGGTGGCCCTTAGTGATGTCACAAGCGGCTGGAATGAGGGGAGGAGCAGTGCGTGCTGCATCCCTTCATTGGAGCGCTTGAGCTCTGCGTGAGTAGCTCGCTTGTTGCCCTTGTGCAGCGACTGAGTGCCTTCGTTTTCACCCCTTGTGTCTTGTGCAGCATCTTGTAGGTAAGCTGAGACAGGGCATGAGATACAGGGGTGGGCAGTGAGCTGTTGAGAACTGCTGGCTGGCGGAGCTCCTGGCAGCTCATACTGCTTACTCTTGTCCATCAGACGTAACTTTCAGCCAGTACCTGCATTCCCAAGAGATCCACAAAGATGGCATTTGTCCCATGGTTTTTCCCTTGTCATCTTTGCTACATTATGCAAGCTCACAGACCTGTTCCTTCTCTCTCCTCTACCCGCTCCCTTGGTGCAGCTTTCGCTCGTGGAAGAACAGAGCAAAGTGACAAGAAACAGCTGCGAGTTCAAGGAATTGTCTACCTTGTTCTGATCTCCTGCCAGGTACGTGCCATGCTTTGTCCCCCCACGTGGTTGACCAACACTGTGTCGCACCATGTTTGGTAACACAGCCTCACTCAGCTTTGACGGGACACTAGTCCCGTGTGGGTTTTTTCCCTTCCCCTGCAGCTCTGTCCTCAGAAGGATGCTGTGTGTGGTGCTGTGACCAGCTGGTCTGAAGGAAACCAATCCCTTAGGCAAAGAGTCCTAGGCCCAGTTTGTGCCGAGCTGCACAGCGTGACCCAAGGTCACAAGCACGCACGCTTGGGCTGTGTGAGTGTGCCCGGCAGCTGTAGGGAGCACAGCAGAGATGCAATCAAGGAAATGTCCTTGATGTGCGGGGCTGCAGCAGGTGCTAGTGGTGAGGCTGCTGGGAGCCGGGGCCGGGGAGCAGATGCACCTGCAGCAATGATTCCTCTCACTGCCCTGCTGCTGCGCTGTCAGAGCGCCCTGGGCGAATGCATCTGCTGCTTTGTGCCAGTCCCCATCTGCTAGCAGAGGGATAGCCGCTTGGTCAAATGCTGCCTAATGGGCTGTCCCATTTGAACGGAGTGAACAGAGTGGTTGCTTCTAGAGCACCTGCCTGTGCCAGAGGATAGCCAAGGGTAGTTCTCCGGTAGTCTCTCAATACTGTGGTGTGTGAAGAGAGAAAATATGAGCGTGTTTCTCTTCAGTTCCAGCTTGTTGTGCCTGCTGTGATGGGCGTCGCGTGCAGCGAGATCAGCTGTGGGCCTGACATGACACGGATGGAGGTAGAGTACGGAGCTCTGATTGGTCTTTGTTCCCTGATTTGAGCCAGCAGAGTGAGCTGCAGATGTGCTCTCCTGCTTTTCAAGAGAGAGCGAATCCTTGCGGCTCTATCAGTGTCACTGGAAAGCTGCCTTAAAGGCTTTCTTTCCTTGCTGCGGGCATGTCCTTAGCCTTGCCGTTCCTTCTTGTGTGCCCATGATAAGGACCGAGTGCATTTCCTGCAGCTTTCTCTGCTGACGTGCTCCTCAGCCTGAAATCCTCCTCGTTTGCCCTCAGCTCCTCACCATGGCCTGTGCTCTCTGTTTCAGGCTGAGAACAACGGGAAGCCCCTGCTGGTCCGTGAGGAGTCATCTCTTAATATCCCAGCTATTGGTGCTGCCCACGTTATTAAGAGATACGTTGCCCAGGCACCGGGTGAACTCTCCTTGGAGGTAAGCAGTTAAGGGCGTTCCTTGTTGTCCTGTACAGAAGAGTATAACATGTGAAGCTATCAGGAATATTCTCAGACACCTTCAGAATGTTTGGTGAGGTGAAGCCCAGCAGATGCGGTTCCAGATTAGACTTGCACTGGGTTGGATGCAGGGAGGAGTTCAGCCATCTCTCAACTATGGCTCTATTTGGCATTGGAATCTTGTGATCAAAGAGCTACTGCCCAGTGTGGTAGCCTGGTCTCTGAGCAATGGCAGAGCAGTGTATGGAGTGTGCAGATCTGTTCAGGATCTGTTCCGCTGACTTATGCCTGCGGTTTAATTGGAGCTCTCCCTTTGGCAAAGAGCCTGCTGCTTCTGAGAACCATTTCATACTGAACAGCTGAATTCTGTATGTTGTGTATTGTAGTGACTCTTCTACCTCCACGTTCGGTTGTACGACTGCAAATGCCTGAAGAGCTGCACTGGTGCAATGGCTCTCAAGCTTGACGATATTGGGCAGTGCAGAAGAATGCAGTCATTTGAGCTGCGCTTTCCTCCCAGCCGTGCTGAAGCTGGGATTGACGTTGCAATCTCTTGCAGGTGGGAGACCTCGTGTGCGTCATCGATATGCCGCCTCAGGAGCTGAGCCCACGCTGGAGAGGCAAGCACGGCTTTCAGGTAGGCACAAGCTTCAGATGTGAGAGCGCAACTTCGGTCGAGGCAGGAATCTCAGCTTAGAGCTGCCCTGCCTGCACAGCATGGCTCCAGATGGAAAATGGTTTCCTTGTGCTGGTGTCAGAGGACTTTCCCTTTTGCTGTGGGCTTAGGCCAGAGCTGAAAGTTGGTCTTTGTAGGAAACTGCCTCCTCAATTAACTTAGAAAGAAGAGCCCTCACAACATGCATCAGGTCACGGCCACTGAACCGCACCTTTGGAAATGCAGCAGCTAGGACACGTGTTTCAGTGTCTCAGAGCACTTGTGCTTGCACCCATGCAGAAGGTGAAGTCAGTGTCTTTTAGGAAGTCACTGCCTGTCAGCTGAGATGAGGCAGGGTAACAGAGCCTCTGTGTGCTTGCTGCTGCTGCTGCTGGCTGCAGAAGGCTGGGTAGCTCAGAGCTGGGGATGGCAGCTGCATCTCAGTCAGCAAGCAGAAAGTTCATAGGCTGTGCTAACTCAGATCTAGCTGCATCAATCTATCATAATATATAGCTTCTGTATGAAGTCTTTCGCTTCGGGCACACTTGATATTTAGGGGTGCATAGCATACTTGTCCTTTCCCCGCTCCATACACAGTTTTATGGATATTTGCCTGCCAATTTGGAATAATTATTAATTTTAAGCAGGCCATTTTTTTGTTGGATTGTCTTACGGAGCATCCGGCAGGCACGTTATGAGGAAAATGGGATGTTTGAATTTCTCATTTCTCAATCTAATTTTAATTCTTTTTCTTTTTTTAAAAAAAAATACTTTTTGGTCTTTCTAATACTTTTTGTTTCCTAATTTTCTTTTTCCTTTTCTAATGATTTCTCTAATTCTTTTTCTAATTCGTTTCCTGCTCCTTGTTTTTTCTTTTTCTAATTCTAATTCTTTTTCCAAGCCTTTTTTG